GAATGTACAGTTTACTATCTGATGTTGTCTCATTGATTGAGGACATCAGCGCTACATTTAAATCATCTTCAAACTCGGAGTTGGGGATGACTGTTCTGATAGTACTTTTGATATCTGATTCGGTAAAACATTCCAGAAGTATTGTTTTATTTGGGGGGATAACGTATTTTTTTTGAAAGAATAACGGGTATACGGAGCGTCGGTTTTTTGTGTCGCTTGGAAGTCGCTGTTTTGATTTCGTTGATTTGAACTGTTAAATTCGGAAACTTCAGAAGATTGTATTTCGGACAAATTTGAACGTCGTGTTTTTTGTAGAAACAATTTCAGAGTATCATCGAGTTTGCTGTAGGTAAAACAAGGAAGTTTTCTCTAAAGCTAATTGCTGCAATCCGGAAGGTTATTGTAGCTTCAATTTCTATCGGTACGAATTGTCCTCCTGCCATGCGTACTCGTTTCAGTTTTGATTTTTGGGTTTGGATCCGTTCAAATAAGGCTTTATTGGTGGTAAGATCGTTTAAAGTTTCCTGGGATATTACATTTGCACAGGCTCCAGTATCAATTAGAGCACGTTTAAATGTTTCATGTGCAAATTGCGATTTGACATATGAAAGGGTTCTGTCGGATTCCAGGATAACTGCATATAAATCAAGGATTTCTTGAGGTAACACTTTTTCGTTGGGTTTTCTTTTTTTTTGTTGATTGGGATGAAATTTTTCCTGTTTTGGGTTTGGTTTTTCTATTCTTCTGTTTCTTCTGCGTGTTTTGGCTGCATTTATGTTATGTTCAATTTTGTTTTTATCGTTTATTTCGGTTTCAATTCTTCACTCTTGACTCGGTGGGATTAGACGTTTTTTGGTTGGTGCTGGAATGGGAAAGATTGTCACTTTCCTTGGGGTTTTTGACGCATATGGCATTGACTGGCCATATGATTGGGGTAACCGTATATTTCGCAGAAAACACCCGTCGCTTGGATTACTGGCATATAAGGGGTATTTGGGTTTTGGACTTCAACACTCGGTGATTGTTGGAATTCAGCTTGCTGTGACTGATAGGTATTTGTTTGAGGAAATTGGTAGTTTCGATTAGGGAATGGTTGTTGGTTCCACTGTTGTTGGTTCTGGTTAGCGAGTAGTGGTTGGTTCCAATACTGTTGGTTCGCCTGGTATGCTGGATAAGGGTTTCGGAAGCGTCCTTCTCGTCCTCCAACCGGATCTAAAATTATTTGGTTGAGAATATTATCCTCTGAAAGGTTGCTTTCCTCGGTATGAATGGTTCGGATTTGGCTATCGCTGTTGCGGGAAACCTCTGTTTCCTCGATATCCTTGTTGATAACCACGATTTGTTGATTATTTCCGAACTGATTTTGTTGTTGCTGGCTTGTTGATGGTTGGGCCGATGTTGAAGCTTCCTGGCGATTTCGATCATTCATTTGTGTCTTCATTTCATTTATCTGTTTCCCCGTTGCTTCTTGTGTTGCAGTGAGTTCAGATAGTGCATTGATGAGGTTATCAAACTGCTTCGCTGACTCCATTAAATCCACCTTCCGGATAATCTTCATTTCGACACATATCACGAATTGTCTTTTGCTGTCTGACATATGTACAAAGATCTTGAACTGGTTCGATTGCAGGTCGTTTCATGAGCTTTCCGCGGAGCCATCCTGACATTGACTTGCTGAAAAGTCGAACTTGTTCGTTTCGGTTATCTCTAACTGAATGCAGTCGTTGTTGTCGCAGCGCTGTTTCTCTGGCATGCCTTGCTGCTTCTATTGCGGCATCAGCTGCTGCTGGATCAATTGGGTCGGAAACCGCTATTTCAGGTGTCGGGTAAGCTCTGAGTGCTTTTTTTTCTGTAAACATACGAGAAAATTTTCGGGTGTATCTTTCTTCGCATCGAAATTTAGTCGTTCGAGCTTCAAGACATGGACTTCCTGAAGTTGTGGGTTACTGAAATGGTCGCGTATCGCTGCGAGGCTGTTCGCTGCATTCGCTCGTGTTGAGGCGTCTAGGTTTGATAAAATCGTAGTGCGTCGCCTCGCAAGTGGAGTTGTAAGAAATTCACATGTTGGCCTGCTGGTATCGCTGCAACTCCAATGAATCCATTAACGAGTTGTTCGAACTGCGCGAAATCTTCTGATCCGTTCCGCCGTAAGGTTCAACCGAGACTTGAGCGTGTGCCATTTACAGTTTGATGAATTTCAGTCTGATTTCATGATTTTTAACTGCAAAGAGTAATTAAGGCTATTAAAATGCTCAGATTTATGTTCTGCGAGTGTTATATTGTTTCTGTCTAGGTTAGGGTTTCGCAACGCTGTTTGGTTGTAAATAAGCTTTAGTTTACCGCATTAATGTTCTTCCAATCATAAAAGATATCAAATGAATGATTTCAGACTAAAATTCACTTTAAGTTGAGCGCACACCAATCTAAAGCACAATAGTCAAAATTTATAGCACAGTTGTCTTGATGGTTCGACCTAGAGTTAGAGGAGACGAAAGTTCTCGAGTTTTTCAAAGGTACTAAATGAATGCAGCTTCTTGAATTGCCCAAGACTGTTAGGTTGTAGGATGTAGGATAAGTAGAAACTCTGACTAGACACAGTTGCTGCGCTTGATCTATGTTTCAGCTCGTCTTCAGAAAAACGTCGTTTTGCTGGAGTGACTGAGAAAAGTCACCGTCGAACGCGAACTGTCACCATGTAACAACCTCATTTTGCCTCTTTCCTTTTACAGATGATTCATATGTTTAAATGCACTTTGATCTAGCAGTATCTTCATAAATGGATGCGTGGGCCTGACAGTGTCTTCAACCTTTCCTCAGCTTGACTCAGAGAATGAATTTAGGTCAGTATAGAGCTTTTTTATTTTCACTCCCGACTGTTTTGTATCTCTCTAATAATCTCTCTTCGTCTCATTTGTTCATATTATTTACATTAAGTAAACAATAATTCCTTCGGTCTCATAACTTTAATAACTTAAATTAAGCAACTAAATATAGCATGAAATGATCATTGGAAATATCATGACTATTCATGACACCACCTTATGGGTGACACAAAGACCTAAAAAAAACGTTATCGATTGTCTTAAATGTGACCTGAATTCTTTCATCCTTAATCCCAGTGACTGCCTTGATCGAATGGCATGGAAAAACGTATTATCTTCCATTAAAAAGCTTGAATGCTATTCAAAATGGCCTCATCTGAATGCTGGAATTGGTCAAACTATAGAGATATACTATTGATTACGCACTTTCTGAAAGTTCAACCACGCTACGGACAAAAAACGCATTATTATTAGTAGTAATTGAGCAGTAGGCTAGTTTACATTTGGACAGAAAGGGTAAATGGGCATTTAACAAAATATGTGTTTTAGATTCTGAGGACTACGATATTTGGCACCTTAGAGTTTGCTGAAGGTTTATGAAACTAAGATCATGATGAAAACTCATTGATTTTAAAGCAGTTGTTATCAACGAATCACACTTTGCAGCTTCTTTTTGCTTCCTCGGCGTGAAGAAGAGTAGAAATCTCATATATAGTCTGGATAGTGGTCTTTGTCAACAGTGATGTGTTTCTGAGTTCGATAGCAGTAGAGTGGTGTCATCGTTCACAAAAAAATTTTATTATAAAACGGGGCATAGATAGCCCACTCCAGTTACACAAACGTGTTTAAAAAATTTAGGGTTTGCTTAATTACTATTTGTTCTCTTCAACATGAGTTGATTTCAATCAATGACTGAGGAATACTTTTAGGAGGTCTATGGTGACCAATTGATGGTACATCAAGGTTTGCTACATCTAATCTTATTTAATAAAGAGCGTCAAAAAACAAAAAATAATAGGAAAAAATCAGAAGAGTGGTTGTGTGCCATACTGAATTTTGACATTCAATAAACCAATGTGAAAACAATGATGAACAAATTCAGTGAAAACTATGATCTTCAATAAATTGGTTATTGATCAGTGGGGTGACTTAAGCAAGGTTCATTGTATGTTGATTTTACTTTCGCAAGAAATACTCACTTAGCATAATTCTACCATCAACACCAGGTGGATAAATTTTTGAGTAAAACACTTTGGAATCCCGTTTCCAATAACACCATGGGACGTCGGACAAACTAACAACACGCATTCGAAAGTTATACAAAAATAGGCTCGAAATATGTGTAATATCTATGATATGCGAGAATAGGTTAAGTTTTTACGGAGAGGCGAAGTTGCACTTCGCATACACAATCAAAATTATGGACGATAAAGCTACTGGGAAAACTGAATGAAAAAAACTTTGAGCCTACAAGCCATTTACGACGCATTAGCAGTACCAGTCAATTTGAAAAGAAAGAAATTAATCAATTGCACATGCCTCAATTTATACAGCGGACGCTCTTTAGCAAGTATACCAAAAAGTTGACTAAAAACATCCGACCCTGCCCAATTTCGAACCTTCATACTTTGTTGCTGGTCTCCAACCCTAACTTTACGCTACAGATCCATGATACCTTGAAGCTAAAGTGCCATTTATAATATAATAGTCTGTGTTAATATCCTTAGCATTGGCTATACTTAATTACTGGTTATTGATCAAAATGAACACTTTCAAAATGAACACATTTTGTCGCAACAATATTTGCATCGCAACAATATTTGCGACTAAGGTTGGAAACAAGAGAGTTCATAATATAAAACAAGCTTTGCTTGCGTAAAAACTAGAAGTCATTCACATTCTTCTTGACCTTTGCATTTTTGCTTTTCGATAGTGGAGTTTGACTTCCTTTTAACAACAGAAAAGAACTGAACTTGAAAAGAAATTGAAAAAAAAAATAATTACGACCTATATAGGAGTCTTCACTGCGCTCATTGATTTGTTAAAAAAAATTTCGAACCAAGACTCACCGTGTTGAAAACCCTAGAATCATCATCAACTATTCAAAACGATTTTGCGAATAATCGAAGACACGACAGACGAAAGTACCTGGGCTCGGGGCTGCACTGTACTACATACCATTAAACTTTGTCTCATTTGTGCTTGAGCTTTCGACGGCTGATCTGCTGTCGGCTGAGACTTCATCACCTCCACGTTTCTCACTACCTAATGACGTCATTTGCTTTCTCAGCTCTTTTGCTCTCGACTGCGACAGAAAAGTTGGCGGATAGGACGAATCTAAATTTTTTACAGTCACTAAACATTTGTTTAACAAAGCGATTTACCACTAAACACCGCTTTTCATTATGTTATCTCAAAATACAGAATGAGCAGTTAGTTTGCAAAAATTGCCACCCTTTTGAAGTCAATAGTTAAAGCTTTGAGACATTTCAAAAATTGCCACCCTTTTGAAGTCAATAGTTAAAGCTTTGAGTCAATAGTTAAAGACATTGGTTAATATTTAAAGCTTTGATACATTTCTCTAAATACTGAATTTTCAATATTTTTGGGAAAACTACTTATAACTTGAATATATATAATTAAAATATAACTAAGAAAATCAAAATATAACTTACAAGAGGAGCACTTCTTGCACGATTTTGAACTGAATTGATTCGGAAACCCTTCAACCGGTAGGAAGTTGATTGCGTCTAACTGCCTTAATAAGCTGCGTAGTCCAGTTCGTTTCAGATGCATACCCATATCTGCAAAACGTCCAAATTACATCGTATCGTAATATACAGTTAAAAAACTTTCTTAAGCTTTAACGTAGTCTGCTTTTTATGCTACAATGAACAAAAAATCAATATACATCTAATTCTGTTACCATTATTTTTTATTTAAGTAATTCAGATTAATTACAATATTTATAAATTCATCAGATACTATCTAGCAACTTTAAAGCATCAACACAATTTTGGCATATTGCAAACAGGGAATGGTTTTGAGGCAGAAACCTCATAATTAAATTTGCCAAACTACAAGTAGCAGTGACTGCTTTAGTTCCAGATATGAATTTCGCCCTTTCTAAGATCCAGGGAGCTGCTTTGTTAGTTTGCAGCCACATTGACAAATTTGCTGGAACCCTTGATTGTACAGAAACTATACCATGAAGCTCTGCTTTGTCTGATATAAGAGTCTGAACTCTAAACGCCAGAACTTCGATTAAGCGAAGTGCAAAGCTCTGTTGATCGGCGAGTTTTGGAATTAAAGTTGAAACTGATTGGTCCATTGAGAGCCAATAAAGAGACACCAAGTGAGTTTGAAGAAGCCAATCAGATGAGAGATCAAGAGCTCCGCCACATTCGTAAAGAATTTGAAAGACGTCGGAAACATTTGATGGGTCTGATTCGCTTGATGATTCGGAAAACGCCAGCTCGATGAAGCACCTCGCGATGAAGTCTTGTCTTGCAGCGATTAGAGTCTGAAATATGAAATAAAAACATGAAACACAATTTTTTTCGGTAGCTTAAAGGATATGCATTGCATCCATTATGCATTAGATCTATACCATCCATCATACATGCTGTATTATGATTGAAGTTTGTATTTCAATTTAGAAAATTTTATGATTTCAAGAATTATCCCGTTTTTTCAGACTATTCGCACTTACGACTGAGGCCAGTTCTTACCTAATACTACAATGATTTAGTTTCTTGTTATTTTAACTGTAATCGCTTCAATTTTTATAGATTCTCAGCTAATTGAAACCCCTGTAACCGCTTTCAAAAATACGCAAACTGGGTTGAAACACTCCATGCTTCTTGCAAAGCAACCTAGTAAGGTCAGTGAGGAAAAATTATGGATAAAATTTTCCTTAAGCAGAACCGGGTAGATCATTGAAGTATCCCCACGGCGTCTATTTTATTGTACTTAAAGTCATTTTAACTATAATTAAGAATGTTCGCAAAAAATTGATTGGCTTTCGAGACTATGAGAACGAGATCAGAACATTTTGTGATTTTTGTGCAGCTACCGAGTACTTTTTGGTGGATTGTCTGACAGAAAACTTGTTCCTGCTTTGTAAGCAACTCAAGACCGTAATCATGGCAATACCGTAATCATGGAAAGACTGCGTGTTTTTGTATTAAAGCTCATGGATCTCTTCAACTATCCCCCCTACGCCAATGGTGTCTAGCAACTAACCTCCCCCTATAAAGAATAAATTGAACGGTCAAGCATATCTGAATGTGGGATATTTAAAGAGATCCGAGCTCAATCCACTGACTGTGCAATCAGCTATACAACTTACCGCATCCGCATCCCGACTGCTAGTGAGAGGGAACGAGTGGAGGAGCTGTGAGAATGCATGCACTTGCACCTGGTCGAACAGAGAGAGGGGTCTAAACTGTCCACATGTCAGTCTGAACAGATTGCACTTGGCCGAGAGTCCCAACACAGACAGAAGCAGACGCATGTGGAGAAGAAGCGCGTAGTTACACCTGTATCAACATAAGTGTACAATTTTAAACCAGCGGCGTGCGCAGAAGTTTTTCTATCAGGGAGCGCAAGGGGGAAGGCTGTTTTTGCGCGCGCTTGACACGCCTTTCTTTCACACGGAGGCGATGCTGAGCTTCGCATCACTGGCGATACAAAAATGTATGACTTTGATTACCAGGAAATGAAAAGATGGCCAAAAATGACTTTGAGCATTTTTTTAAGGTCTTAAACAAAAAACGTTCTTTTGGCGCGCCCTTGACAGAACACACTGACGGCAATAATCTCTCGCTGATCCAATTGATTTCCATACTAGTAGAACGCAGTTATGCATGCTTTAAACATTTCGTCTGAATCATAAAACGCAAATATTATTTTCCAAAAAATTATCAAAAACTTTCCCCAAACCTCGGCTGTTTCTGGCTCAGCTCAGGAACACATTCCTGGTTGCCTCTGGTTGCTTCCACCCAATGATCCTCACAGTCATAGTTTCTCCTCATTAAATCTCCCGCACTCAAATCCCACTCTGACAATTCGGATCCGGCACTTGGTTCCAGCAATACTTCATCGAACAATTGCAAAGCGAAATCCAAAATGGCTTCTAAAGCTTCCGGACGTCTGATATTCAGATCTCTGTTCATAGATTTCGGAAACAAAGGATCGAGCGCTTTGTTCATATGGTCCCAAATTGCCAGAACTAACCGGTGAAACATTTTACTCCACAGCAAATGGGCAGTTCCGCATTTTATCGTCTGGTCTGTTATTTTACTCAAATAATCCAGAGATAGGATTTTCAAATGAAGATTTTCGTCCGGATTAGAAGACCACTTAACGGCTGCGAGCCACGCAGTCTGACAAAAAACGTAGTCATCTTTAAGCGAAATTGGTAACTTTTTGTGCAAACTCTGCAGCATAGTCGCAGTTATAGAAGACTTGTTAGAACTCATCAATTTGTACTCGGCGCATGAAATGTTCTGTTCAATTAACCATCTCGCCAGAAATTCCGACAAAGCTCCTTTTCCTTGAGCCAAAATTGAGTCCACCGAAAGAAGGTTAGGTCTCGCACTGGAAGCATTGAGTGCAGCAAACAGAACACAGTCTTCTAGTCTGTATATTAAAAGGTTGAAAAGCTCGATGTCATACGACAACTTAAACCATCTTTCTTGTGTTATTTCTGGCCACATTTGTGAGTTAGTTTGTCGCCTACTGGAACATTCAACATCAGATGGCGTAGCATCATTACGTAATTTACTCTCACTTGCGTCCTGATTGGCTAAGAAAGATATGCAAATTCCTCTAATCATAATAGCAGCAGTGAGCGCTGATGTTACATTGCGGCTGCACTGAAGTGTTTTCCGAGCGAATTCCCATTTTGATTTGACCTCATCTTCGTCACCTTTTTGGTCAGCTTCAACTTCATGACTTTTGCGAGGAGTCTCTAGCATCCAGGATACCAGAGAATGAAGATGCAGCATTTCCACTGAGTCCTGAAATGGGATGTCAAGCATCTACTGACAAATCAGTAACTGCCTTGTTCAAAAACTGATCGTTTAAACATAACCAACATACAGTGGCAAAAGAGTCATGGAGCTCAAGGAAACAGACAACAAATACTCTTTGGATAAGAAATACAAAAAACAAAAAAAATATATGAAAGCTCTTCGAATTTCAAGAACAATTTAGAATTGACACTTTATTGATAAAATTAACACAATTTGAGAAAACTGAATCAATAGGTAAAATTTTCATTCCACTGTTAGATCTGAAACTAAAATCATTTTTCGAAATTAGAAGTCGATCACGTTTTTCAAGACCTTTACATTTTTTTGTGCGATAATGGAGTTTGCCTTCCTTTCAACTAAGGAAAAAATGAGCTAGAAAATCAAGGAACAAATGAACCATAACAAAAACCATCACGACCTATATGATAGTCTCCACTACGTGCATCGCTCTTTAAAACCTTCTATAGCTATAGCAGTACAACATTTTCAAGAGTTTCAGCCAACTTTGGTGATTAAAGATTTCATTAACAAAGGAGCATGTTTAAAAATTTTGGTTGAATTACCTGGTAGTTGTCTAAGAGCTTCTCTTCACTCAGCCAATGGGCGAGCAGGAGATCAAGAAGTGCAGTTCTATCTCGGTCGACACAGTGAGGCTCTGCAGATAGAAGAGAGAGCAGACAGTCTACTTTGGTCTCCCCCTTCAACACTGAATTAAGTATACTATTACTGACCTTATTACATGAAGCTTTTTCGGTTAAAACATGAAGCTTTTTCGGTTCACCCCCTGCGGTTTACAAAGAAGTTGCTATAATAAAAAAATAATAATAATACTTCGGCACATGTTCAGATAATTTCTTCCAGTAGACTTCAAAGCTAGCAATTGCTTATAGAATGTTTCTGAATTTTCATGTTTCTTAATTTTCTGATAAAATTAACACAATTTGAGAAAACTGGATCAATAGGTTAAGTTCTTATTCCGCTGGCACATGTAAAATTTTAAATCCATGTTCTGAACTTAAGCTACGCATATTTTTTGCGCCACTAGCACTTCGTTTGTTATACCCTCAGCCGTTAGGTGAGGTATATACGGTGTAATCTCGATAGTCAAAGTCTATGCTTAATCGCTAACTAAGAATTGGAATACGAATAGATTGAGAGCAACTTAAATTCAGTTTAGAAAGTTAAGTCTGATTCGAATCTGACCTCGAAATCATGAGAGAGACAGAGACTCATAAATAACTATTGAATATGGTGTTAGGTTTAATAGGTACTTAATTTAGATCAGACTTCTATATAGTTCAGTTTACATAGTGTTACATAAGTATATATGGTTAGCACTTGGGATGGATGTAATGTTTTAGATAAACATAGTTCTAGTATATCCGAATGGATAACAGTTCATATTGGTATGTACTGTATCCGTATGGATAACATTCCCCTTGTTTCTTATATGATGAATACATCATATATCTTTTGAATTATCCGTAGCGTCCTTGTGTGAAGTTTTGGGGTCGTTTCCATCCAATGATAATTTCGATATCTGTTGAGTATATGCTTCCGATGATGTCTGTGGGGTTTGTGTAGTGCTCGGCTTGTTGTTATTCTCCTCGTTTGCGTATTTGCTTGTACGTTTAGTAGGTCGCTCTTGTTTTTCGTATTCCCTCTGGAAAGTCATTGAGTTTTTGGGTGGAGAGATGGATTGGAGTATTTTCATGGCATCGTTAAAGTTGTCAATGAAGGATTTGTCCGGAGAGCATGACGTTTCATTCGATCTACCTATGACGTAACGTGAACTAATCGCTCGTTGTTGGGGGTTATTTGGGCTAAGAGACGTAGTTGACGTATCTAATCCTGATGCGAAATTAGTTCGTGGGCTACTTTGTGGTGACGCCGTGTGTGTGTGTGATTTCGTTGGTGTTCTTACGGTATGTATGGGTTCATATACCGCTTCCGTTGGTCCGCCTGTACCTTCACAAGATTCTGTAACCCTCATCTGTTCTGGTGTTTTCTCCGATGATTGGCACGGTGTTTTGTCACCTGATTCGATTTCTATACACTCTATGTCTGTTGAGGATTCCTGGACAGTGATTGTCTGGCCAGTTGGTTCTGTTTTATCTTTTTGCACCGTTATGAGGCATACTTCATTAACTGGAGTGCTCTTTGTGATTGTATTGATCGGGATTGCATTACCGAATTTTAGTGCCAGGGCGCTTGTTTTGGTTCGTGTTGATCTACGGTTTGGAACTGATGATTGTGATTTTTTGCTGGCATTCGTATCTTGTGGCGGCGTGGTTTTCCGATCTACTTTTTTGGCTGGCGGCATTTGCGGTGATTGTCTCAATTCCTGGATTATTGAGTCGTCTGATGAGATGGAAATTGATGTGTCACATTCGAATTCTATGTTTTTGTTTGCCTCCTTGCGTATCTTATTCGGGCTGCCTTGATCTTTTCGGCTTGGTGACTTTAGATTTTTGGTTGACGTTTGGGTCTTTGTCGTCGGGGCTTTAGCTGTTGTTGGGATTATCCTGTGAATCCTATCATGTCCTAGTTTCCGTCTGATGGTTGTTTGTCGAATAAGTTCCTCGACATTCTTGGGTGGTTTCCGTTTTGGGCTTGTTGTTGCTGTTGAGTTTTTCCCCCCCGGTTTCCATGGTCTACTGTTTTCTTCGTTGGGAATTTTGAGCCAGTTGGTTCATTCTGATTGATGTCTTTGTCTAAAATACGGGATTTTGCTCTTGGTAAGTGTTTGTATGCTACGAAATCTTTTAGTTGTGCCGGTCTACATTTACCGTACACCCTTGGGTCAGGTACAAATGCTAGTCCGTCGTGCCTTATGACACTTGGTTGTTTTCCGTCCTCTCGAACCCATGCCGTGTGCGGGGAGTAGTTAATTATTGACCCGTTTTCAATAACTTTGAATTGTGGCCCAAATACCCCTGGATTTTTTGTTTTGCGTGCAATGGTGCCCGATTTTCGAGCTACTTGTTCAATGCGTTTTCCTAACGCCGGGTCTATAGTTTTTTGGGGTCCTTTAAATCGATCTTTTAGGAACACCAAGGGAGCTCTTTCTATTCTATGTTTTTCCTGTTGTGTAAGCCACCGAATTGGTTTTCGTGTTCTAATATTTGCTATGTCATGTTTTGGGTTTTCTGCGAGAAAGGACCGTTTTACTTTTTGTAAATCATACGGTATATTATTAAGCGGAAGGTGCGCACCTATTGGAAACTTTCGTAGCAAGGCCTGGTCGAACAGTTCATCTTCGTCTGTGTCCGCCAGTGAGATTTGCTTCTTTGTCTCGGAGGGAGTCTGTCTATGTGGTGTTTGTCCTAGGGTTTTGCTTCTAACCGCCTGTGAGGATGGTCCCGCTGGTTCACACGATGGTTCGGGAAGGTACGTTTGCTTGTACACCACACTGAGTTCATCCTCGCTATTGGTTTCCCTATTCCAGATGGCCTCCGGCGTGAGGGCAGGTTTTGTGAGCATTTTCTCATCTAGGCACCAAAGTTTTGTATTTTCCCATGAGAGACTAGAAATTTTAGGTGTAGTGCAAATATTAGTTAGTGGTGTGTTTGGTTTACGCCCGTAGTGCGCTTCAAACGGCGTAATTTTTGTTGTTGCGTGTGGGGTAATACGTAGTGTTTTGATTAATTCCGCTACATCTGACGCTAGTTTGTACGGTACGTTGTTTTTATCGATCTTCATTATAGAGAGACGAGTTTTCAAAGTTCGAATTAGTCTTTCTACCATGCCCATTGAGCGATGGTCATCCACTGGGGCGAATATTAACTTAATATTATTGCTCTTACAGTAGATTCTAAATTTTTTAGCCCGAAACCCTTGAGCTTGGTCGCACCTGATATTCCTTGGTACCCCTTGGTTAACCAAATGTGTTGGCATAAATCTTATGATTGTGTCTGCTTTGTTATTCGTTACCACTTTTGCGTAAGGGAATCGCGAGAATCTGTCTACCCCAACTAGAATGTACACGTCTTTATTGTTTTCGTCCGGTAGAGGTCCAGCGAAATCCAATTGGATTTCCTCGTTTGGTTCTACTACGGCGTCAAGGTTAGTATAGTGTTTTTTTCCAGATATCACCCGAAGATTCTTACCTTTGGTGCGGCACTCCTTGCAATTCTGTGCTGCCGTTACTATGTCACGATGTAGGAATGGGTACCAAATATGTTTGGCAGCTTCCAGCATACTGCCTTGTCCTGGGTGGGTCAAATGAATTGAGTCAAGAATAATCTGTCTAAGCTGCTTCGGAATTACTACTCTATCGTCATATAGCAGCACATTGTCTCGAACCGACAGACGGTTTCGCACGTTATAGAAATAAGGACCGTAACAGGCTTTTATTTGCTCCCATTTTTGGTTCCGGATCATGTTGATCAGGGGCTGGAGGTTTCTATCTCGTTTTGTTGCGGCCGCAATAAATTCTACATCTAGTGCCTTTCTTAGGTTCTTTCGGAACAGTGGTACATCTTCATCCTCCATAGAGATGGCTTGGCACTCCGTTTGCTCCTCAGGTGGGTCTGTCTGACATATTTGGTCCGATTTTCTTGTGAATGTGAAGCTATCTTTTGAAGGAATTATCTGGTATCGCACATCGCTAAATGACAGTGTTGATCGGCCTGGTTCATCTGATAATTCGTTCAATGATGTGATCTTAGTGGGTGGAATCGATAAATTGGTTTGTTGGCCGCTGTGGCATTTCCGCATAATTCTTTTGAAAGGGGGTAGTGACATTCCTGTCTGAAGTTGGCGACTCATTTTGTCTGTTACTGGATCGGGGGGTGTTAACTTAGGGTACACTTGTTGATTAATAAATGATGTTTCTTCTTTCCGTGCTTTTTCTATTGAGGGTTGATTGCAACTGTATGAATTTATCGAGTAAAACTTTGAAAGAATTGGATGTGACTGAGAGAGATTTGAGTAATTTGAAATTTTTGAGTGTGAAAGAGAGTGACTGTTTGTTAGAGAATGATCGTTAACAGTGCACTGTGTTTCTTTTGTATGCGAATTTGAACGATTAGAGTTTTCGTTCCGGTCGAGCTGTGCTGTGTGTTTAAATCCGTTTGGATTTTCGTTCATTTCGATATTAGCTATAGTGCTGTCTTGAAATTCCAGGCAAGAAATGAAATCATCAATAAGCGCGACCACGAAATGTTCATCCCAATATGCGGGCGGTTGTGGTTTTCCCACCGGATGGCGCGAAATATAATCTATTAATCCCATTTTACCGCCGGAAAGGTGTTTGATGTCAAAATCAAATGGAATAAGACGGTCAATCCATCTAGTTAGGCGACTTTGATATGTTTTATTACTTTTATTACTATTTAGGGCACTGACCAGAGCTTGATGGTCCGTAATTAGTGTGAATCGGCGGCCATACAGATAGTATTTAAAATGATCAATAGCCCATACTGCCGCTAGGAGTTCCAATTCATTTACCGAATATTTGTTTTCACATGCGTTTAGAAATCTGGACGCGTACGCTACCGTAGCCCATCTGTCGGGCGTTTCTTGTTCGAGAGCAGCTCCAATACCCTCGCAGCTGGCGTCACAGACTACTCGTGTTTCTCGGTTACTCACGAAATGACGATTTTCTGTGATGTTTCGCACCGCTGTCAGAATTGTTTGAAATGCCTCTTCATGTTTTTGATTCCACATAAAATGGAATTTAGAAGAAGAAGATAAGAGTGGCCTCAATGGTGTGCACAGTTGTGCTAGGTTTGGTATAAATTTATTTAGATGATGAATTGAACCCATAAAACTTTTGAGTTGTTTGAAAGTTTTAGGGTGTTGTAGATTTGTGATCGCCTCAGTTTTCTTGTGTAATGGTATTGTCCCGTATTCATTTATGATGAATCCCAGCCATTCGACCTCTTTACATCCGAATTTGCATTTGTTTAAGGAAATCGCCATATTTTCTTGATCCAGTTTATCTAATACCTTTTTTAGTTTGTTAGTGTGTTGTTCTTTCGTTCCGTGCGATATAATTAATATATCATCTAGAAACGCGAAAGTATCTTTTTCGTTGTTTAACGTCAGATCAATGGCTTTTTGGAATTCTGCGGGCATGTCCGTGAGCCCGTAAAATTCTGTTTGGAACTGATATGTTCCCGTCGCTTGTCCACCAATTATACTAAAGTTACACTGCGTTTTAGTTTTTTCATCTAATTTTAATTGGCTATAAGCATATCGGAGGTCAATGGTAGAAAAATATTTTGTACCTGGTTTTCCAGTACCCTCTTGAGCTGATTGTGCCACATTATCGAGCAGGACGTCGATGTTAGGCATCTGGTACTTGTTTTTATGTATCGCTTTGTTGATTTGTTTTGAGTCCATTGCTAATTTTATTGAATAATCTTTCTTGACCGTTATTACGATTGGACTAATAAATTGTTTGTCGCTACAGCTGTCGAGTTTCACGATATGGCCTTGGTCTATCAAGGATTTTAGTTCTTGTTCAACCTTTTCTTGAATATGAATCGGGATCCGGCGTCCTTTTTGTTGCAGTGCTTTGAAGTCATGTAGGAATTTGGTATGAACTACGTGGTTTTTTGACCGACCAATGCGTGTGCACAACCCCGGGTATGTTGATTTAACCCAATTTGTGATGGCCGTGTCCGATTGATCTGGTTCTGTAATGTAATTGATTGACTTACCAGTTGGTTTTTCTTGTTGAAGATGAATGCCTAGTTGTGGTAGCAAATTTCGACCCAAGATGTTTGCCCGTTTATCATCCACCAACACAAATGGCGCCGTGTTGATTGTCCACCCTCCTGATTCTATAGGGGCAATCAGCCTGCCGAACGCGGGAATTTTGTAACCATTGTAGCATACCATTCTATTAGCCTCGTCATTTTGATTGAGTTGAATACGACGAGCTCGTGGCACCGTATTTTCCAAAATGGCCGCTGTTTTGTTATTTACAAACGATGTTGGAGATCCTGTGTCTGCAATGAAGGTAATATTGTGTTTCCCAATTCTGACTCGGATGAGATGTCCTATTAAGTCGTTTGTTGATAAATTTCCTGTCGTTTCCTCTTCGAAATGTACAGCATTTACGCTATTGTCCTCTGGATGTATGAGTTCCCACCCCGGAGCGACGTCCCCTGCTTGGAGGTAGTCAACATACGCCGCTATGTCGGTGTCCTGGATGTTTACTTCGGGATTTGTTTCTTCACTGATAGCATTAACGTTTGGGGAATTACAGAGTCTTGCGTAGTGTCCTCGTTTTGTGCATTTATTGCAAATCTTGTCCTTTGCTGGACATTGTTGAAGGTGACCGGGTCCGAACGGATTACCACACTTAAAACAAGATTGTTTCCTGTCTCTATCTGGTCGTTGCGAGCTTCCCGGCTGTGATTGTCCTCGAACTCTGTTGTTACCTCTTCTGTTGTTACGGTAAGGGTCCCCACCTCGTCTTTGGATGAACCCAACTGGTTCGGTTTTTATGCCCGTCTGTTGAGAAGGAAATGACGAAGAACCCTGCTTGCGGATTTGGATTTGGTTTTCCAGTCCCTTTTCCCTGCGTATTGCATATTCGAACGCTTGCTCCGGGGTTTTGGTCTCAGCTAGTAAATCTTTTTGTACTTCATCATTTGTCATATTTGCTGTGAATAAGTCTCGGATAATTTCTGTTTCTAACGTGTTATTGTTGCAATTAGGACATTTGAAATTTCCTTTGATGACTAATTCCGTGAGACGGCAGTGGATCTGTTCCAGTGTTTCTGTTTTATTCTGCTTTCGTGTAAATGCCTCGTATCTGTCAAATGTAACATTACGGTCTTTAATGAAAAGATGTTCCAAACGATCCCAGAATGCTCTTGTTGATATTTCTTGTATCTTTAGGTCTGGGTAGTGTTGGTTCAAGCGTCTCTGACCTTCGTTACCTAGGCTTAGGTATATGTAGCTTCTGACTTTTATGTCGGCTTCCTCCCATGGTATTCCATCCACGGTGGGTCCCAAATTGTCCAATTGGGCACATTGGTTATCCCATTGTATCTTTTTTTTCTTGATTACGTATGTTCCTGTCCCTGGTTTGTGCTTGAGTTTCCCCTTCTATAGGAAGTTCATAACCAGGTTCGTGCGGTTTTCTTATTGCAGGTGGATCTCGTAACAGCTTTTGTAGGTTTATGCCATCTTTTCCGACAATTCCTAAGTAGAGTTGCTGGTTCCACTTCTCCCACTCTGTTGGCGGTTCCGCCGAGGCTTTTTGCCAGAATGGGGCGATACCTAGTAGGTTTTTTGTTGTGAGTGCTGGCTGCGCCATGTTATACCCTCAGCCGTTAGGTGAGGTATATACGGTGTAATCTCGATAGCCAAAGTCTATGCTTAATCGCTAACTAAGAATTGGAATACGAATAGATTGAGAGCAACTTAAATTCAGTTTAGAAAGTTAAGTCTGATTCGAATCTGACCTCGAAATCATGAGAGAGACAGAGACTCATAAATAACTATTGAATATGGTGTTAGGTTTAATAGGTACTTAATTTAGATCAGACTTCTATATAGTTCAGTTTACATAGTGTTACATAAGTATATATGGTTAGCACTTGGGATGGATGTAATGTTTTAGATAAACATAGTTCTAGTATATCCGAATGGATAACAGTTCATATTGGTATGTACTGTATCCGTATGGATAACATCGTTATTGGAGAGCGTAATTTGCCTCCCATTAGCAAATGAGAAAAGAATCGACCATTAAACTGTAGAAAAAATCAAACTTGAGCGTGAAGAGCGTTTAAGATTTTCGACCTTGCGACCTAAATAAGACTTCACTTTGTTCACTGATGAATGCTGTTAATGAGATCTTAAGAAAAAGTGCTTTATCGGCACTAATATTTCAAAATTAAAGAATATATGAACCTAAATTATATCCAGAATCGCAACCTAAAACATCAGCAACTTTTTATGTTGGGCCATTAACCTTGCACAAGCCAGCCATGACAGTGTGTTTGATAGCAACGTACAAAATGTACGACCACATTAAAAAAAACCGACCCCGTAGAAGTTAGCACGAGTAAAATTACAACACATGCGAAACGGATCTTGGCAAAAATTGCGGTAGAAGGCAAGTGCAGCAATGCAAGCAAAAGGAAATCTCAAGTCGAACAAAATAGATATTCGAAAAAATGAAAAATTCAATTTCAAAAAATCAGTCAAAAAACCCTATGATTAGCATAAATAAAACTTTAAGTAACATTTACCCACCGGCCACTAAGTCGACAATACAAGGGTAGACGCCTAGCAAGCCAAAAACAAAAAAAAGACAAAATTAAATTGCCACAAACCGAAAGCATAATAATCGAGTGGAAAATGAAAAACGACTTCAGCAAAACTCTAATTGGCAATTGACAATATAACAGTCCGACTGTTAGCTATAAAAAAAATGGTTCCAATAAAAAAACCTTTTGAAATTAACATGCTTTTAACATGCGTTCGACATATTCACTTTTTCCCGGAAAACAAATTTCATATACACTGAAAACAACTAAGGTCCGAACGGTATTCTAACCACAGACATAAGCGTGCAATGGCAAGCGCGTTCCTTCTAGTGAGAAGGAGCCCGAAAGTTGTTAAGGTCCTATTAAGCAAGTTCAATTTCGTGTAGATTTGTGAGAAAAGTTGTTTACGGGAAAAAGACTAGTTCACGAGTACATGACTTGCTCTCACAATAAAAAAATATTCGAAAACTGCGTTTCAAACTAACCGCAAAACACAAATCCAGTAACAAACAAAATGATTTAAGTAAACCATTGAAGATCAACGAGTCTAACTGGAACAAACTCCGTCAAAATTTTTCACGCCGCAATTTGTAGACGAAAAAACAATTTGACCTCCCACTAAACACGAAATGACAAACATAGCCAATAGACAGTTAAAAAAGAGTCAATAAACGCAAAAAAAAACAAAAAAAAGACCAAGAAACGAAGAAAAATTTTGTCGAATTTCAAACAAAAAAAAAATAACCTTAAAGCTCTTTGAATTTTATGGCCTAAAATCTTTTCCAAGAGTAATATATAACTGGCACTTTTTTGCTAAAATTACTCCGATTTGAGAAAAATATATTATAAGGAAAAGTTTTTATTCCACTGGCAAATCTAAAAATTAAGTTCAACTAGAAATCGATAACTTCTTTTTTCGCGCCTTTTAAGCTTTCATAATGAACTTGGATTGAACTCAAAAACTGCACATATACCTAAAGACATTCAAAAGTGCATTTATAAGTACGAATGCACTTCTTTTGTTACTAGAGCACGCATTTTAAGACTTTTCCTGAAAAAAAAACATCACGACCTATACTTCGTTCATCGACTCTTAGGAAAATAATCATAATAAAAATAAACCATCTACTAACCCGGAAAGAACAAGAATGCTCCCAAAACAGCCTTCTGATTAGATGTCAGTGACTTTCTGATAATCAATTTCATCTGTTCGTCTAGTTCAAAAAATTGGAAGAAATTCGACAACTGAATGAAGGAGTCGAAATCCTGGATGGGCGACTGAGCCGTAATCGTACTCATTCCTGTAGACTCAGTCAGTTCAGTAGTGTCAACCTACAAGTATGTACAACATTATTAAATGTTAACTTTGATGTTATCCATTTCACCCAAGATCACTGTTTACTTCAGTTATTAAGAGGCAGGGTAAAAAAAATCGTGGGTTACGCCATGCACGGTACAAACAATGGAACATTTTTTGATGTTTACTAAAATAGGGAAACAAAACGAAAGGTTCCGAAGTACAGCTTCCATCAATCTATTCAAATTACAATTTATGACTTTATATTTGAAACTTAACCTATCAAATAAAAAAACAGTATCAATCAAACTTAATGACTTCTTTTTAATTTATGATATTGCTGAAGAACATTTTATACAAATTTATATTACCTCAAAAGCCGTTTCTTGTGCGATATGAAATAAATTGAACTTGAAGTCCTTGTTTGATGAGTGAGAAAGAAACTCCAGCTGCTCAAGCAGATCCGAGGCATCCATCGGTTCTTGGAACAACTCTTCACGTTGATACTTCGGCTCATAGAGCTCCCATATATTCTGGTACAACTCGTTGCATTTCCTAAGACGCTCGTACTGGTGTTTTAGAACACTAAGCTGTGCTCTGTTCGGGTTATTCGACGTGAGATGTAGTTCATCGTCCAGTTCCATGGGATCTTCGTTTGGTTCCTGAGATCTTTTCAGAAATGCATTTACAGTATCTAGAACTTGGAAGCAAGTGAAGATGTCAAGATGCTCATATGTCGATACTAGGTTCAGGTTTTCAAGAACGAAAGTCGCGCTGCTCAGTTGTGAGAAAGATTGTGCCAGAAAGTCTCCGAGGCTTTCATTGAGAAGATCTGGTTTCGCAAGCGTGTCGACTATTCGCGTGGACACCAGAATGTCCTTTTGCCGAGCACCCGAGAGATCCGAGAAGGCAAAGTGGTAAGGTACAGAGAGACGAGAGATGTCGCCGGATAGAACGTCGAGGAGCAGCACCTGGTCCGGATTGTGGAAGGGATCTTGATTGGGATTGTAGAGCAATACCGAGTTTCTAAAAAAACACATCATCAATAGATAATAACTAAAAATGCTTCCAAAAATCATCCAATAAAACTGATTCACGGCAAATGGAAATCATGATAATTTAGATTCTTTGCGCGACAAGCGGCTATTGATCATCATTTTCGTCGTCGATGAAAAATTCGGCATCATTATATTCATCTTTATCAATTTTATATTCATCTAACTTTGACACGTTGAAAGCAGCTGCTCTATGTCCCATTTTCATCGGCCATACTTCCACTATGGCTCTCTTAGTTGCATGAATGACAAGAAACAGAGCATGACTTTTATTCTTCCGACTCGTTCTCTTCTTGTGCATGTGAGGGGCTGAGTTAGATGCGACATACCAAGCCAGTCTTGCATTTCGATATCCTTTGAATACTCGAATCACCAGGCCTCTCATGACATCTACTAGCATCACGCGGCTAAGGTTATCCGCAATTGCAACTAGAACAACAAGAGAGAATTTCAATTGCTGGGTAATTTTAACAGAGGGCGAAGCTGCACTTCACTGACAAGCAACAAAACATAGCCAACAGACAGTTGGAAAGAGTCAATGAACGCAATATAAAAAAAGGTACTGAATTGATTTTAGAAAAAAAATCTCAACTTTCGATTTTGCGAGAAAAAAATAGATGGCCTTAAAGCTCTTTGAATATCTAGAACGATTGATGATTCACCCTTTTTCGATAAAGGTAACCCTATTTTAGAAAACTGGATCAAATGGTAAATTTTTTGGGACATCTGATAATTAAATACCATTTTCGAAATAAAAGTCAATCAGGTTTTTCGCAACCTTTACACTTTTGCAGTTCGATAATAAATTTTGTCTTCTATTCAACAAAGGAAATGAACTTAACTTGAAAACAAATCAAAAGTCAAGCAGCGAAGAGCAAATTTGAGCCTAAACAAGTTTTGAGTTTTTTCCTGAAAAAAAAATGAAAAAAAAAATCATCGCGACCTATATAAGAGTCTGAACTACGTTCATCGACTCTCAAAAACGGCAAAGTGAGCGCTCAAAAAATCAACGAAAATACAAAAATAAGTCTTCAGAAATTTTGCGACACCTGGGATCGAACAGGAGTCATATTCTCTCAGTCGCAGATTTTACCACTTGAACACTTGCAGTGATGATCATTTAAAAACGATAACTTAGGGTGATTTAAATTGTCATTCACATTCAGTTTTTTACTTTGCTGACTGACCAATAACAAATTGCCACTAATTAGGCGGATACCGAACACATGCTATTGAACGGGTGCCTGCCATCAGTCCGATAAACCTAGCTGATGCCAATCCTAAATGATGACTTGTTATCATTAACGCTTATTATAGATTAACTTGCATATATTCACAAAAATATATAAAAATTTAGCGTTTTGAGGAGCTGATAATTACAAATTACAGGAATAAATTTAAAAACGCATTTGAGTACAGCAAAAACTGTTTCAAAAACCGCCATTTCAATATAGTGAAAATCAAAAAAGCAGTTCGGGTTGTGGTGACAAAGCCGACAAAAAATAATCAATGGAAAAAAGGCACACATTTTTTGAAAAGGAAATTTTTTAGTTCGCTTAAGCAAGCTGATCCTGGCCGTATTTGAAAAAAAATTAAACGTAATAATGTTTCTATACACGCTATTGTATAAGAACAAGCACATGTATAAATCAAACTAGTGTCTAACGCACCCTCCGATGCTTCGAATTTTAACAACTCAAAAAAACCGAATTTATCGGAAATAACATCTGCATCCTTTGAATGTACTCTGACAGCACCAACTTACAGGGTTGGTAATTTAAGAAGTTTTTTTACATTCGTTTTTTAAATTCAAATTTCGAAAAACCATAAAATCTTAATTTTTTTTTATTATATCTAAGTTTATATACAATAAATAAAGAAATATCACATCTCGAAAGCTAAAAGCAATCGAGCAGTAGCACTTGGACGCAAGATTTGCAACTCCTGAGAGTTCTCTGACAGCCCCTCAACTACAGGGTTCGGAATTTCAAATTTAGGAAAAAATCAAATTTTCTGAAACTTTTTTTCAAAAAATCACAGAAAATGTCACATCTGGAAAACTACAAATATTTGAGCAGTCATTTTTGGAGGCAAGATTGGCAATTCCTGAGGTACTCTAACAGCCCCATACTAAAGGGTTGGAATTAAGTTTTATGAAAATGTTTTGAAAAAATCAGAAAAAATGTCATATCTCGAAAACTTCAAGGATTTGAGCAGTCATATTTGAAGGCTAAAATCACAATTCTTGGCAGTAGCCTAACAGAGCCTCACTTTAGATATGGAAAATTAAAGCTTTAAATTTTTTATACCTAAGTTTTCTGAAAAATTTTGAAAAAATCCTAAAAAAACGTCATATCTCGAAAACAACAAGGATTTGAGAAGTGAGTATTGGAGGCAAGATTCGCAACCTTGGAGAGTACCCTGACAGCAGCCAACTACAGGGTGAAGATTTCAAGAATTGACAAACTTTTTTAAAATCAAATTTTCCAGAAATTTTTAACAAATCTCGAAAATAGCCTATCTCGTAAACTACAAGGATTTGATTTTTCATATATGGAGGCCAGAATCGCAAAACCAGGGAAAACTCTTACAATTTCCTAGTATTGGGTTGCTAATTTCAAACTTGATGAAATAAACACTGAATTTAAAATGGAAAACCGAAAAAAAATCTTAAGCATTGCTATATACGACATAGCTTAAACGTGAAAAAAATCTTTTGTTAAACATGCTTAAATAATACGTTGAAAAAGCTTAAACATGGCGAGATAAGGAAGTCCGCATTTAAATATATAAAAGAAGAGATGAAAGTTTCAAAATTAGGCGACGGGTAGACAGACAATCAAATTAATTAAAAAAGCAGGTATGGACTTAATTTGGCCTCGAAAAAAAAATACTGAAAAATTAATGACCTTGCGAAAACTGATGGAAAAATTTTCTCAAGCATTGCAATATATGATATAGCTTAAACATGAAAAAATTCTTTCGTTAAACATGCAAAATTATTATGCTTAAACATGGGAGATAGCTGTCACTCGCATTTAAATATAGTATAGATTAACAACTCGGAAACTAAGCCGACAGTTCTTAAGTCGACAATCATGGTGCCGAAAAACCATCATAACAAAAAGTACACAGAAGTGTAGATGCGCTTCGCAAACACTAGCGAAAGCAATTCTTTTAAGGTAAAAAAAGTAGTAATAAGCCTTAAATTAGGAAAACTTTAGTAATGTTACGGATTCTATCCTTCGATTCGCTATTGGGAGTCTCACAACAATCCCTATCAGCTGCGCACGCTTAACGAGCGCCAAACACTAGCCACAAATAGCGCAGAGAACAGATGTTATGAAAATTCCAATATAACAGATTGTGATGATGGCAAAAAAGCCTACAAATGAGCACTTATACTTGCGAGTTAGGTTGGAAAAAAAGTATCATGCTAATACACTACGCTCAATGGCGTAAATATTGAATTCCTAGATATAACAATTAGCAGTAAATACTGAGTAGCAGTAGGTAACACAGCAGTAGGTATTAACAGCCAGTAGTCAAATTTCAATTTAAAAAAATAACGGCACAAACTTCAGCAGTCAGTTAGCTGAAATGCTTAAATCTGATTAGCTGAAAAAGAAACCGGATCTCTTCAATTAATTCCCCCTTTGGAAACTAATAACGCATTGCCACTCTTATAAAGAACTAACTTAACGGTCAAGCATATGAGAATTTTGTACCTAGTAACGATCTTCACCCCCTTCCCTTGCAAAAGGGGAGAATAGTTAAAAAGATCCAAGAAACTTTTACGCCAAGTGCACTATCTCCGCCCTTAAATAATTTAGTTAGGGAGAGATTGTTCACTAGGTCCCAAATACTGACCTCACTGGCTAGACATTAAAAAAAACGTACGCAGGTTTCCGATGGGCGAGTAGATTGCGTGTTCTGCAGCTCTAGATGAGTCACTGAAAGATATGCGGAGATTTAGACTCTCCTCTTTCATTTTCACCGCCTCTGTTTCTTCTATAACGGAAAAAAAACAGATAAGACTTGTCTCCCACTATTGAAATTTGATTCAGATTGAGTTCACGTTCAGATGTCTTAAATGATCGTATCTGACTCGATATTGGGGTTATGCGAGATATTACAAATATTAAAGCTACGGGAAAAAGTTACGTAACTTAAAAATTAGGACAGAGAACTAATAGCCAGGGTTGTCATATTTGATAACAAAAATAACTCATTGATTTAGAACTGGAAAACAAAACACAAGTTTTCTGCCTTTTTCGACTTCAAGAGGGTTTCTCAGGTTTGGCTGCAGAACACCAAAGTTGCTGATGAATTTTTTCAATACAGCTAGTGTCGAAATTCTGAGAAGAACAGTTTGAACAGATGCTCAATTGATTTTTTTGTTTATATTTATTGAGTTCAATCCGATTTAAATCAACCTGGTTTATATCAGGCAAGCCTTCTAACAGCAAACATTCACTTTTTAAACTCACTTGCTAAAGATTTAAACGTACTTGCTTGACCATAGAGAAACGAACTTGACGCAGACCAGAAAGAAGACTTCAATCTACTGGCATAGTTGTGTGCCATCTTAGTCAGGTTTAGTCCCCCTGCATAAGGATCACCGCCCAATACATGGTCGTACACTGCCGAGTAGGGTCCAGAGCCAGCTGATATGAATCGGATATAACGAGGAGCCATAGGCTATAAACGCACAGGTTACGTAGCAAACAGTAGACAGGTCATGCACTAGAGACGTCGTGAGCGAATCAGAACCGAGAAAAGAAATATTTGAAACGTTTGTTTTCTTCTCTCGATCCTCGTTGGCTTACGGCGTGTCTACTTTTTTAGCACACTCCTAACACAAACCACATAACTGATGGTGGGAAAACAAGACCAAAACAGGTAACCATTCTAGCCAACTGAAAAAAATATTGTTAAGCAACATAACAGATTCGCCGGCACGGTTGTTATGCAATTTAAACGTTATTTCTGATGCAATTTGGGCTTCCGGACTGTTTAGTTCACGTGGCTTTTTGTTTTGCGCTGGCAACACCACCAGAACCTGCTTAGTGAAATTCCAAGCTATCTTGTAAGATTTTGCTAGAATCGTACAAGAACTTACAAGATAGTTCGGTCGGAAAACTGATGGTGTATCTTGTAAGAATCTTGCAAAATCCTGCAAGATAACCCGTCACATACAAGCTCTTACGAGATAGGTCATTTCTGCGAGAATCTTACAAGATTGCTCATCATCTTCAACCAGGGAAGCGGTCGAGAAACGCTCGTAATATAAAAAGTTGGTTATTTGAACTAAGACAACTTGATTTTACCAGAGGGAAACTATTTTTGGGAGCTTCATTTTGCGGTTCTTGTCCGTTTTCGAACTTCTTTGAGCAGAAAAATAAAATTGTTTTCTCAATTTCCTATCTATTAGGGCTATGTTTAATGTTGTAAATGCGGTTTTAAAACAGTCATTACTGGTATACTAGCCTGAAAACAATTTTTCATTATTCATTTTAACCCACAATAGAGCTCGCTCTTTTCAAATATTAGAATCAAAAATTTTACTTTTGGCCTGGCGTTGGGTCCTCCTAGAATAGATGCAGTTTTCAGGTGTTCGAAAGCAGTAGGCTCGATAAGTTTCGGCGCCGTGAACACAGACTGAGTTTCTTCTTGGTCCAACAGAGTCCATTTTGTGACGTCATCAAGAGGAATATTCTTTGGAGGATCCCAATTGGCTGAATTGCCACTTGAAGCAACCTGTCCAAATGATTGCATTAACAGGCAGTTCTACATTAATTATAATTTTAATCAAAAGGAAAAGATTCGAACTTTCAAAGCTTGATTTTGTAAAATGTCAAGTTGAGCTCGTTCAAAATAGCTTCAAGTTAGCTTTTGACTAGAAACAATCTTGTAATTAATTGAACAATTTAAATCAATGTTCTAATGAGAGAAACTGTATGCTCACCTTTGCCTTATATAACTTCCATTCGATCAGAAACTCGGACAACACTGTCTTAGAGACCGAATAGAAAATCTTATCAGCTGTGACCACAGTAAATTGTTCTTGAGACAATGCCGTTTTATTCACTTTTTTGTTCAGGAAAACTTCAGGAAAATTTTCCACTTTCAATTCTTTCACGTCACTTTCAGACCAGGAAATTTCACTGATAGGTTGTAGAAACTCGGTCAAAAATTTCACCAACCCCGATTTAAACCCAACAGCTATACAATTCCACGATGAAAATGCCGGAATTTGTTGTGAAGAAACATTTTCGCCAGTTTTCGCTGATGCATTGTCGTTTTTCTTCACATTCAGAACCAAAACCGAACGAATCGAGTCAAATTGAGTTATTTGAGATGCACATATTAGGTCGTAAGAGGCCTGCGTATTCGCATCTGATAAATCTGAGAACGATTGCTTCAGATTTTCATTCATAGACGGCGAAGCTAAATCGTTGGTTTTTCCATCTTGTCGCGTGAGTTTGAAAACCCACACGAAACTATCAGTATGAGCAATGAATAATTCAGCTTCATTGCAACCTCCTATAACGTATGATATTGCGCAGGAGTTCACGATTGGGTCGTGAATGTTGACCTCAAAAAACTTAGAAGTAGAGGCTACCTTTTGTAAGGTACTAGTTGCGTTGGTCTGCATTATTCGACCAGGACCCAAAGCTGCTCTCTATTCATTTGTTCTAAAAAACTCAATTTTATCAAAAAGTACTTCCACTTAAACTCAAGTCTATGAAACTAAAGCATGCATTCAAAAACAATAGCATTTAAAACAGGTTTGAATATCGGCAGAATACTAACTTAAGTTTCCGAATTAGGACACGGTTTTTAAACACCTTTAAAGCTCAAAGAAAAACCTATTGATAGGTTAGCTATGACCAACATGAATCAAAAATATTTAACTTTTCCATCAAAAGTAAATTTTAATCTTTTCTAGCTTATCTAGCTACACCAAAAATTGGAAAGCATAACTAACTCTTGAGGTGTGCAAAGGATCTCTGGCGTAGATCGTGTTGTTTACAGAATTTTTGAAAACAATATTTAGCCGAGAGTCAAATGAGAGCTACGCACCTTTTGTGATGCAACAAAAGCTTAGCATGACAAATGAGCCGACAAAAACGAGACGAAAGCCGCAGGTCAAGAAAAATTTTTAAAACTTAGATATACCAATATGTTCATTTTATTGTATCTTCTTAATTTAGCCAAGGGAAAAACTTTACGAAGCGTAACAAAGCCGAGAATAATTGAGCAGACAACCATTTAGCCGTTTTCATTGTAAAAAAAAACTCCAGAAACATTAAAAAGTCCCCTCACAACACACGAATAATTGATGAACCAAGGAAATTATCTCCGTGTGCACGCGAAATTTACTATGTTGGATCCCATCTATTGCGGTAAACTTATGGGTCTAACAAATTTTTTGCAGAGCTCTGAACATCTGGAAAAATGACTTGATCTAAACTTCCGTTAAAAAGTTTTCCTCATGCCATAAATGACTAAAAACCCTTTCTTGCATGTTAAAAAAATCTTCAACTTTTTCAAATCAAGAAAAAAAGGCAGGTGAATACTTCAAAGCAACCGTGTAATCATAAGCTAAACAATCTGCCAAAATCAAGTTGAGCCGCCGAAATAAAAAGTATCTATTCAAGAATCATACATGAAGAATTCAATTTCACTTTGTTCATTAAAAGATTACACAGAAGTGAAGCAGAGGTTCGCGTCATAAGCGATACAATACAAACAACCTTGCAAACAGAAAATGGGAGGTCAATCGTGGCAAGGCAAGCGTCTCAAAACGAAGGTCATGCGTTCGAGCACAATTCGGTCATGGTTGGAGGAGTCCCAGTGTCATCCGCCTCCTCAAGGTGGGACCGTCCGCGGCGAAATGGATGACATCCCCCTCCCCCGCGGTTGAGAACCGGGTCAAACAAATCAATCATAAAAAAGAAAATGAGAAGAAAGTCGCTAAGTCGAATTTTTTTTTGGAAACTTAGCGAAAAGTTAGTTCTACCAAAATTTTGATATCGTCGTCTCAAATTATCATATTCTCGAATTCAGAGACAATTATCGAGCGGTAAAAAGCTAACAAAACTTCCCGTTGAGTCGAAAACAAAATTTTTTTCATGAGAAATTTTTAGCTATGAAGTTATTCTCCTTTTATGTTTCCGGAAAAAGGTTTGAGAGTCTTTGGGGTTTAAGTTTTGCTTTTTCCAAAGAACACAATTAGGAAGCTAAGCCGATAAAACATGAACCGAAACCGTTTAAGCAGAATGAAGCTTTCCAGCAGAAAAAAAAATAGGGAAAAATACAGTGGAAGAAAACTCACAAAGTGCAGGAGTAAATCACAACACAAGCAATCAAAATGAAAAAAGCTCACAGCATAAGAAAATTTCGACGAGGCTACTAAATCGACAAAGAGATAGGCCACCAAAAATCAGACAAACGATAGGCCGACAAAATTTTTGAAAGTAATTTTTCCATTTTGAAAAAAAACGGACACTAGCCGGTTTTGAACCTAGGAACTTTGCAGTCTCAGGCCAGGTCGTTTCATCTAAATCAAAAAGTAGATACATGTCAAGAAACTTGAAATTATTATAAGCCAAGGTATGAAAAACTTTCGTTAAACACAGAATAGCAGCGGAACTTTGCATCACTTGCGATATAACGCAGCGTTTCAAAACAAGCTGGCAAATTGAAAATGAGAGGGAAACTACGGAAATGAAAAATTTATTTATAAAAAAGAAGTTTTTTGAAAAAATATGACAAACTGAATAACAGAAAAACAGTTAAAAAAATACAAACACCAGCATTGCAAAAAGCGTTTAGTATTAATCGAACCACCACTAAGTCATCAATATTCAAATATGAAAAACATAGCTAACTGAGACTTGCAAAAGAGTCAATGAACGTAACAAAAAACAGAACAAAAATTTGACTGTTTTTTTAAACCTTGAACTTTCGAATTTCATAAAAATGGCCTTAAAAGCTTTTTGAATTTCAAACGCTATTCATAATTGGCATTATTATGATAAAATCAACCCAAATTGAGAAAACTGTATTATTAAGGAAGAGTTTTTTACTGGAAAAACTAAAAACTAAATTCGACCTTCAAAACTAGAAACTGATGACGATTTGACTTTCATTAAAATAATGATAATCAATTTTTTTTTATCTTCAAACGACACGCAATAAAACGATTAAGCCAATGAAACATAAGCCGGAACCATTTTAATTCACAGAATAAATGTAGAAAAAAACTTCTTTGAAATCTGAGTAGGTGAACTGACGCAGGAAGCGGCTCTTCGTTCCTTTTGCGATGCATCACCTACATAAAAAACATAAGTCGAACAGATGAAAAACGTTGTAAAACGTTTATTAAAATTAATAAACATTTTCAAGTCCCCCCAGAGACTACGATGAACAACACCTGCAACTGCACAGAAAGTTGCTTCGAGTGCAAGAAAAATCAGTGATGCGGCAACTAAGCGAGAAAACTTGAACAGACAAACAAAAATCTGATATTTCATTTTTACTGGAAAATTTTTTACATTGCAAATATACTAAAAAAACAAGGTCCTGCCGGGAATCGAACCGTAGAGTAAATCACAACACAAGCAATCAAGATGAAAAAAGCTCACAGCATAAGAAAATTTCGACGAGGCTACTAAATCGACAAAGAGATAGGCCACCAAAAATCAGACAAACGATAGGCCGACAAAATTTTTGAAAGTAACTTTTCCATTTTGAAAAAAAACGGGCACTAGCCGGTTTTGAACCTAGGAACTTTGCAGTCTCAGGCCAGGTCGTTTCATCTAAATCAAAAAGAAGATACATGTCAAGAAACTTGAAATTATTATAAGCCAAGGTATGAAAAACTTTCGTTAAACACAGAATAGCCGCGGAACTTCGCATCACTTGCGATATAACGCAGCGTTTCAAAACAAGCTGGCAAATTGAAAATGAGAAGGAAACTACGGAAATGAAAAATTTATTTATAAAAAAGAAGTTTTTTGAAAAAATATGACAAACTGAATAACAGAAAAACAGTTAAAAAAAATACAAACACCAGCATTGCAAAAAGCGTTTAGTATTAATCGAACCACCACTAAGTCATCAATATTTAAATATGAAAAACATAGCTAACTGAGACTTGCAAAAGAGTCAATGAACGTAACAAAAAACAGAACAAAAATTTGACTGTTTTTTTTAAACCTTGAACTTTCGAATTTCATAAAAATGGCCTTAAAAGCTTTTTGAATTTCAAACGCTATTCATAATTGGCATTATTATGATAAAATCAACCCAAATTGAGAAAACTGTATTATTAAGGAAGAGTTTTTTACTGGAAAAACTAAAAACTAAATTCGACCTTCAAAACTAGAAATTGATGACGATTTGACTTTCATTAAAATAATGATAATCAATTTTTTTGATCTTCAAACGACACGCAATAAAACGATTGAGCCAATGAAACATAAGCCGCAACCATTTAAATTCACAAAATAAATGTAGAAAAAAACTTCTTTGAAATCTGAGTAGGTGAACTGACGCAGGAAGCGGCTCTTCGTTCCTTTTGCGATGCATCACCTACATAAAAAACATAAGTCGAACAGATTAATTAATAAACAGTTTCAAGTCCCCCCAGAGACTACGATGAACAACACCTGCAACTGCACAGAAAGTTGCTTCGAGCGCAAGAAAAATCAGTGATGCGGCAACTAAGCGAGAAAACTTGAACAGACAAACAAAAATCTGATATTTCATTTTTACTGGAAAATTTTTTACATTGCAAATATACTAATAAAAACAAGGTCCTGCCGGGAATCGAACCGTAGACATTAGGGTGCGAAGGCTACGGTGTTATCTCTCGGCCATTGGTGAAGGAACCTGGAAGTTGTTCAGGTTAAATAATAAAGCAAGTTCAAGATTTAATTTAAAAAAAGTTGTTTACGGGAAACATCTGGCTCCCGATTAAAAAACACTTGGTCTCACAAGTGTAATAAAATAACAGGAGAAAAACCAAATAAACCATGCTTTACAACTTTAATCCGGCAAAAATAAGCAGACAAACAAAAGTCAGACATTTCAATTGATTCCGGGAAGTTTTTTTTTCAATTTTATGCATACTGGACAAAAAACAAGATCTGACCGGAACTCAAACCCCCGACCTTAACTACAAAGAGAACCGCATTACCTTAAAACCAAACGGAAACAAGGCTGAAAGTTATTGAAGTTCAAAAAAACTAAGACACAGTCGAAGTTGCACTTCGCATGCACAAGCAGAAATATGTCCGATAACGCTACTGTGACGCACGACACACCAATTATGAGTCTACATCATTGCTAAGGAACGCAAGCCAATTATGACGCATCAGAAGCACCAGTCAATTTGAAAAAAATTACTAACTAACATGCTTCAATTTATAGAGCGGACGCATTTTAACTAATATACGAAAAAGTTCAGTAGAAACATCCGACCCTGCCCAAATTCAAACCCTCTTCTTTTGTTGCGGGTCTCCTTTCCCGCCTCTACACTATAAATCCATGATACCTTGAAGCTAAAGTGCTATTTGTAATATAATAGTCTGTGTTAATAGCCTTAGCATTGGCTGTACTTAATAGCTGGTTATTGATCAAAATGAACACATTTTGTCGCATTAATATTTGCGTCGCTACAAGGTTTGTGACTAGGGCTGGAAAAAAAAAGAGAGTTCATACTATCACATTAGCCTTGCTTGTGTGAAAATTGTATACGGGTAACAAGTATAGTTGCCGATTAAAAGACACTTAATATCAGAAGCGTAAAAAAACTGTTAGCACAAAAATTCGATACTCCAATTTGATAACAATTGTTCATTGCCAGCGAAGATAGAACGGGTACTTAGAACGCAAATAATCTCATAACGTTTCTGTTGGTTGACGAAAATGCTTCGAGGATTCTTTTGTTGAGTTATATACACGAAAAAATCTATGTTCCGAATCGATAACTCTTGATTAATGAAGCATAATGATCGCATGCGTAATAATTACGTTTAAATTTATCGATATGGCAAAACTTCGGAAAACAAAAACTGAACATTCAAAAAGTGTCTGTGCTAGTGAAACAAAGCCAAAAAACAGACGATAGTCCGAAATAGCAGAAACTTTCCAGTTTTCAAAAAAAGGTTCCCACCGCATTTGAACTGCAAGTTTTTGTCATCTCAATTTTGAGTATTAATTCAAAGTCAGATGCGCTGAATCGTTGATTGAATTTGAATTATTACACAAGCGAAGCTTCACTTCGCTAACACAAGCGAAGAAAACGACAAAAAGCAGCTCTAAAAGATGATTTAAACAAATAAAAAAAACCATTGAAAACCAAAATTTTGTGATGAGTCGGTTTCGAACCTCTGTACTCAACATTTGTAGTCTCACGCTTTCGCATCTGCGTCACGGGCTTTTGAAAACTTACGAACACTACCCACCAATAAGGCAGCTACATATGCTAGTAAATTGACAATTCTATGCAAAAATGCCACCAAATATAAACGAACGTCAACCACACTACCTTTGCATGTAATAATTTGGAAAGTATTGAATATAATCAATTGGAAATTATAGAGCCAAATTGTGTAAAAATACGCATTTCAAAGACTTCGCAAAACATATTGAGTTGGAAACTTTCCGAAACGGAGTTTGTATTATTGTACTGTTGAATGAAATAAATAGCTTTTTTCGGCTCCATTGATGAAGTAAAAACGCATCAACTGTGTTAAACTAATACTCATCGCATTTCGAAGCACAGGCAAAAAAAAACTGCCAATGCTACCTACTGCAGAAGTGTTACCACACTTAACTAGCACTAATATTTGCGAATTAGGTTGGAAAAGCAAATAGTAGCCTTTTAGAATCCCACTACGCTCTGCTTCTGTAAACACAGAGGCGAAGCTTCGCTTCGTAAACACTTGCAAAAAACACGATAAAAAGCGCAGTATAAATTGCAATAACAGCAATTAGAATTAAGCCTCAAATTAGCAAAAATTCAGCTACTGAGATTCGAACCTGCTACCTAGAGATTAAGAGTCACACACTAACCACTAAGCCACTGACGTTTAATAAGACCAAAACACTAGCCGCACTTAAAGCAGAGAACAGATGCTATGCAATTTCTAAAGCTACAGTCACATCTTCTAAATAAGTGAACACTTTTAACACAGAGGCGAAGTTGCACTTGGCATACACAACCAAAATATGAACGATAACGCTACTGAGTCTAACTAATTGCTAAGTGACAGAACCCAATTATGACACATTAGTACCATTCAATTTGGGACAAAAAGAAATTTACCAAATAACAAGTATCACTTTATAGAGCGGGCTCATTTTAACTGGTATACGAAAAAGTTCATTAAAAACATCCGACCCTGCCCAGGCTCGAAACCTCTTATTTTGTTGCGTGTCTCCTTCCCTACCTCTACGCTACAGATCCATGATACCTTAAAATTTAAGTGCTATTTGTAATATATAGTCTGTGTTAATATCTTTAGCACTGGCTGTACTTAATAGCTGGTTACTGATCAAAATGAACAGTTTCAAAAAGAACGCATTTTGTCGCAACAATATTTGCGTCGCAACAATATTTGCGACTTAGGTTGGAACAAAACAGAGTTCATACTATAACACAAGCTTTGCTTGTGTAACGAACACTTTTATTTGTGAGTTAGTTTAGAAAAAAAATTCCTAATAATACACTACACTGATCGCAAGTGTAATAACCAAGTTGTAAAAAAGGTTACATTTTTAAGTGCGAATTCTAATCAGCAAAGTTCGTAAGGACAAAAGTCTAGTAACCGTTTGCAACACCATTGCCTGTCGGAAGGTTAATCAAAAAAGAATAACATGTTGCTGCCTAAGTACTATGGAAGGCTCTGCCGACAGCAAGTTTAATTTTTTAGATTAGAAAAGAAGAAAAACTGTTTCAAAAAACTTCGACTTTCTTTAGTTTATTTTTTATGCGCGCAAGAAAGACAATAAAAAATAGCCTGATGACTCCATCGGAATTGAATGAATAAAAACATTGTACGTAAGTGAGCAACTATCGTTGGAAAAACAGCTTAGTAAGAATGGAAAAGTGTCAATGAGCCAAAAAAATTGACTGAATTTTTCAATGGAATAAAAAATAATTGCGAGTTATCATGACTTCAAGCTTCTTTTTTTTATTCACACTTTTTTTGAATTAACTGATCCTATTCCGCGATCCTATAACTTACTTTTGAAAATAGTCAAATTAACCAAATTAAGAAACTTTTAATATAGTCAAATTAACCAAGAACAAAATTAACGTTACATCAAACAGAGCCAAAACAATTGATACTAAGCTAACCTAGTTTTTTACTGACTATCAATTTACAACTGAGTCTGCACGCTGTGATTTACTGCCGATAGCATCCGCTAGCTTTTCTACCAAAACTGAAGAAATCAATTCTTCTTGATTGAACAACTTTGCGTTCACACTTCGCTGACTCAATCTTCGATTCTGCAAGGACATCATTCTGTCAAGCAATTCATTGGCAGATAGATTTTTTAGCAGCGATTCCTCTTTCGGAACCTCTTTGGATTCCGATTCCGGTGTTTCCAGAAAACTGACATCTATTCCCAGTTTCGAGAGATCTTTCAACTTTTCCAGCTCTTCTTGACCAGGTGGTTCGTAGTTGGATTCAGAGAGGTTCGAGGGAATTTCAAGGTCGTCTGGAATTGAGGGGTCGTTGATAACCGATTGGAAGTACTCTTCGGCAAAGTACGTTGTGATGAAATTATTTTTTTTGGCGAAGTGCAGGATTTCACGCGCAAACTGCTTCTGAGGTTTTCCAAAGTATTCCTTTAAAAAAAAACTTTTTTTTTCAGCTAAAACATAAGAAGCTCATAGCAGTTTTTTGAAGATCTTGATTATACAAACAATGTTTTCGAAGATTAGACATGATTATAAATAACAAAAATGAAAATCGATTTGCCAATTTCAAAAGAATTTCAATTTCTCAATATATTTTTATATTTATATTTCAGTAGGCATTACAAAATTCAATCACTTTGTACAAATTCATAGAACTAAATCAATGAAGTTACTTACTGGGGAAAAAAACCTGTAGTCCAGGATGCGTAAATAATCTTGTTTATTCATGTTATGAATTATCTCAAATTAATTTTCAAAAGAGTAAAATCGTTTAATAATCACATAATTTGACTTCTTCAAAACAGAAAACAATTTAAGACTTCGAACCAGCATTTTAAAGAGACTTAAATATTGTTTATCGGAAGAAGATACCTCGTAAAGCAGATCCGAGTCCTCCTTGCTAAACGAACTGAGGGATGAGTCATAAGCAGGTGCGTGAGAGGAAAAAGGCGCAACTGTGTGGTATCTGTAAGGCTTCACCTGTAAAGCATAAATTGCTGTAAGAAAACCCATTTTTTTATTAGCCCCCGGCCTGCTCAGTGCAGGACCATCCATGTGGGAGGGAGATGTCATCCATTTCGCCGAAGCCGGTCCCACCTTGAGGAGGCGGATGACACTGGGACCCCTGCAACCGTGACCGAAAAAACCGTAAGAAAACCCAGCCAGTACCTCGTAAAATTTCATCAAAATTTCACGCGGAACTTTAACAGACCAATAGATGCGAAAAAGAAACTTCATATTACGTAATGCGTCCATCTCTAAAAATTTCCACAGCTGCCTGACAACCGACAGTAAAAATTACAGAAAAATCGATGAAAATTGATTGTTTATACAATTTTTTGATAGTCGCCCAGAGGATTGTCAGAGGCAACATTAGAATTTTCATATACGAAACAAAAAACAATCATACAAAATTCATTAACCGATAGTTAATGTACTTCAATGACTAAAACAAAAAAATAATTGACAAATGCGTGAATAATTAACAAAGGTATCAAATAAATTTAGTTTAACCGAAACACGTCAATGCTTTTTTATGTTTTAACTCCCGCGCCAAGCGGCAATGATCTGCGTTATTTTATCGTAAAAAAAAGAAAGCGATTTCGTAAAAATGTTTCATGAGCCAAAATTGTACAAATAAGTAGAAATAGCGTCACCAACCTGTACTTTAGCTTTGTCGAATTTGGGCTGAGTGTTTACATAGGAGTGAGAGGTGATGGTCTCCTGGCTCTCTTCAGGAGTGACAAACTTCAACACTCTCTCGCCTGCCGCATTTTTACTCACAAAAGCGTCCATCACAGTTCTCAATTCCTGTAAAAAATATTCAATCACTAGTGTGCTGTTTCTCCTTTGTGATTGAATCTACTGGCGGTTTTAACTTGACTTAAGTCACAAGTGTACACCGCGAGTCATTTCATAAACAGAGGCGAAGCATAGCGTCGTCACCTTCGCATCATTTGCGACATTCGATTGACAAAATATTCACTTTTCCAAAAACACCCGTAAAAAGAGAATGTTGCATATTCTGAGAGTTGAATGTAGTTGCAAGATCATTTTTTATAAAATCGCATTTTTTCATGTACAATTGAGTGACTCGCGTCGAATTAAGAGTTCATTGTTTCTGATCGAAACTTGAATTTGTTTGATGTACCAACAGGGGCGGATCTAGGATTTTCTCGAGGGGGGGGGGCGGATTTTCAAAAAATTTTCCAAAATTTTGACGACCTTTTTTTTTTAGCTCGACCAAATTGATTTTTGGAGCTCTCCCAAAGCACTGTTTTGCCCCTACTTTGGCTAAATTTTCTGCGCCACAGGCAAATTTTTGAAAAAACAGTCAAAAAAGCCGTTTTTGGGCAATTTTTGAAAAATTTTGACAAAAAAATAGCATTTTTTGTGGCGCGCGCTCCCCCTCAAAGTTAGTATATATTGGCGCCAAAGGCGCCCTTATAAAAATTTTAGGGTCGGTCGGCCAACAATGGATTTCTGAAAAAGTATCAAAGGGGGGACCCTTTGGGTCGGCAGGGGGTCGAATCCCTGAGTGGGGGGGGGGGGGCGTCCACGTCCCCCCCCCCCTAAATCCGCCCCTGTGTACCAATTTGATGTACCAAATTGAAACTTCAATTTGAATGATAACTGTTTACCTCGTTGTCATCTTTGCCTCTATCCAACAAGTCCACGACCGTTTCTTCCAACTTCGACAACTTAGCCGGCGATCTATCGCCACTACCTTCTTCAAACGATGCTTTTCTCTTCCTCTCTGAATATTTATCCACTCCATTCAAAATCACCTCCCCGTCGGGCACAGAGAAACCTGGAAACTGCTTTTGACATTCTTTCAGCAAAAACTCTTGCATCTTTTTCCCGTACTTATACAGGAAAGACTCATTATCAGTGCCATATTTTGCAGCATTTTCAAACATGACATAACATATTGAATACAAGCTGAGTGCAGATAAGATTTTATGCTGTGAAACATCGCTCATAGCCTGTCTCAATGTCGTCTGCTCAGGGAACAACTTTTTAAACCCTGGTGCAAATACATCAGTCCACGGCCAAGAAAATAAATTTCGATAGTCCTTTTTCTGTAAATGTTTAACTATTAGAGCCAATTTAGAGGCAATTTCTTCGGGCGCTAATTCTGAAACCACGTCGCTAGTTAAATTGCCAGTAATATTTTTTTCTGATTCACTGATTTTACCAGATATGGCAATTGATTCTTTGCCAGTTGTTGATTTTTCTGAAGAGACATCTTTTGATGATGTCTTGGCAATTTGAATAGACTCTGCGCATGCTTTATTCCAAGAGTCAATAGTTACCATTTCCAACTGAAATTAAACATTTCTTCTTTGATGCCTTCAAAAAAAGAAAAATTATAATTAATGATATACAAAAATGATACTTTCTAATCTATCATTATATTTTAATCTAAGAAAACTTTAAATACTCTCCAATAAAACTTCTGGATCACCTTCAGTCGCGTTTTGCCTTTGCTTTCTGAGCTTTCAAGGCAAACAGAGGCAGACAAGATAGAATCATTAACACTCCCAGAGCAAAGTGGGTATTTTCCCAGCCGATTCCTGAAAACAAAGACAAAAATTCAAACCACCATGTATTATCATTAATAACAAATACGCAATCTTCACTTCAAAACTTTTATTCTTCAAAAAAAAACATTTCAAATTGCAGCAGAATTGTATTTCCATATTCTACTCTATTGAGTTTCTTCGCAAGTTTGAATACGAAAACATACAGCAGAACCATATTTCCATATTCTATTATTGAGTTTCTGCGCAAGTTTGACAAAGAGGCGAAGCAAAGCTTCGCAACATTTGCGATGAAAAAAAATTCTGAAGTTAATAAAACTACTTTAAAAAATTCCGAACAATTAAGTTGAAAAAATAACTTGAAAAAATAACTTGAAAATTTTTTAAAAAATACAGCTACAAAAACTTCATGGTTGTACAGAAAAAAGTTCATAAACAGTCTTAAAAATAAAAGAAAATCAATGACCGAGCGGCGAAAAATTTTTTTGATTGAAACCTGGTTTTGCCGTAAACAAAACTGTTGTCATAAAAATTTTCACAAAGTTGAAAGCTTATACGACCCATCCAATCTGAAATATATAACAGCATGAGAATAAATTCGCCCTCGAAATTATGCAATCAAAAATTACTGGGCTATATCGAATATAATATGAACTGCAATAGAGCAGTACAACGGTGCCGAAGTACAACAGTGCCGGGAAAAAAATTAGTTCAACAGTGCCGAAAATGATAACTTAGTTCAACAGCACCAAAAATATGAACAAATTTCAACATATCAAGTGCGGCAATCGAAAATTAAACGGTGAACGTTTACAATCTTAAGTGACACTTAAAGAAATTTGAGCAAGAAAATTTGCAATTTAGACGTTTTGGCTCCAAAATTATTGTTAAATTTGCAGTTGCAGACATTTTGGCGCCGAAATTGGAGTGATTTTCTTTGATAATTAGCGTCAGTAATTTACCGCTCTTTAGAAATTGCGTTTTAATTATTTTGAAATTTTCCCGCATTTTTCGGCATTGTTGTACTTCGGCACTGTTGAACGCCCCACTGAAACCTTTTAAATATTTGAAAAAAAACTTGAAAAAAACCCAAAATCAGGCTTTGTAAATTTACAAATTACCTGACCTTTCAGTTCTAGTAAAAAATTGTTTAAATTGCGAAAATTCACATGCTCTACAAAGTAAGCCAATAAAAAACCTATCAGTTAAAAAATGTCGTTTAAAAAAACGGAAAATAAACTAGGACAAACAACGAACCCAAAAAATAGAGAAATTGTATAAAAATAATTAAAACCGGAAACGGTCTTTACCTAATTACTACTTAAATGATAGTCATTTAAAAAAACTTTCAAGAAATTAAGCATCGCAGAAAATAAAGGAGCCCAGATGAAATGACTCCTGTGAGCAAAGAAATTTACGGAAAAAAATCTAGTGCCCGATTGCACTACCCTTGCCTATCGCAAAGGTAAATAACCAAAAGCAGAATCGCAATTCCATTTTCAGCTATTGAGTTTTTTTCGCAAATTCAACTAACAAAACACGGCAGAATCGTATTTCCGTATTCTACTTTTGAGTTTCTTCGCAAGTTTGAGTAACAAAACATACGGCAGAATCGTATTTCCACAAGGCAAAAGTTTACTAGGAAAGTAATATTGAGATGTGTAGAACAGGGTGATTACTTCGGCCAAGAAAAAGTAAATCATAGATTTTTTGTACCCAGAGGTGAAGCGGTGCTCCGCACCTTTTGCGATAGAACACAAGCATTAAATAGAACATGAAAAGTGGGGAAAAAATGAAACATAATGAAAAAAACTAGGCGAACCAAAATGTTCTTATGTCTCGATAAAAGATAACTAGAGGCCCAGCTAGAGCTAGCTGTTTGATTCTTTTCGAATTTGTTATACTGATGCGGGATGAAATGGGAAATTTCAAAAGTTGGACTAAAAATCTTAGATTCTCAACTAAAGTAAGTGAGAAGAGTGGAGAAAAAATTGGACAAAAAACCTTATTTGTTTATCTTTTGAAAATAAATAAGAGTGAAAATTTTTGAGAATATGCAATCATTCCAAATACATCAAACTTTTCCTACAAAAATAAAGAGTCGCCGCTTCTTAAGCGAAAATTCTCGCAACCGGTTAATTCGCTTGAAGCCTTCATCTTAGATTTGACAGGTATAATATTCCGTATCTGGCGGGTGGACAATACGGATATATTGTCGTTTAGTGTAATGCGAGCTGTTCAATTGGTAATTTTTTTTAGCGCTACTGGCTATCAATTGTATTTAGATTGGATTCATTATTTTCGATATGTCTCGAGCGGTTAAGACCTATCTTGCTTTAAAGGATGCTGGTTCCGATTCCTAGCTTCTGATATCTCTCAAGTCGATCAGCGCAAGTAAGAGCATGATTAGGATATTTTATTCAGTTGATTTGTCTCCAATTGATTCCTAGCTCGATATAAGATTCCGATGATTGGTATTAATTACCATCAATGTTTACATAGTTTAAAAAAATATGATGCAGCTCTATTTTATCATCAAGGTGAATTATGTAATCTATTCGGTTCAAATGATTAATTAGAATGAATGAAATCATGAAGGAATGTCACGCAACCTCACAAGAAGAAGTCTTCCCGGGTGGTTGAAGTGTTTCATCAGATACATTTACAATAATTCGCATAATAATTTAAGACTGCTTTTGATTAAAAAAAAATATACGTTTATCAATAAGATATGTATCTATCGAAGGTTATATCACAATAATCACAATAAGTTAGAAGATCTCATAGTACTAGGAGCACAGGATATTACTTCAATTTATAAAATGAGAGTAAACAAAATTCAATTTAAAGGGAAGATAATTGTTAAGCCACCTTGAGCCGGGGTTTGGGAGTTAAAGTGATATATGATAAGGATAGATTAATGATATCATGATGTATTCAGTTGTCAGCTGTAACTAAATTTGCACGGCAAGTACTGTTGCGTGGAGTAGCTGACTAGTTTTGGTCGTCGTTTCATTTCACATTTTGGTATCGCTGTCTTCGTTCGTTCGTTGCATGACATTCGTGTTGCTCTGTCGATGCTGAGGTCGGTGTTTGAGTTAAGATGAGGCTGTTAAGTTCTTCTCGTATCCTCAATAATTTCGAATGTGTTTTCAACAACTTAACATTGATTTGTTTTATTGAAATATTCACTTTGTTTTTGAAGCTTTTTAACTAGAAACGCAATTTGTTCTCTGTTATACATGCTTCTAATTTGATGCTTAGTCTTCTACTCGTTTTTTAATTTTGTTCCCTCAGAAGTCTTTTTGTCTTCTTCGTATGGGTGTTTTGTGCCTTTGTTGGCCTTACTCCCTGAATGAAGGTGATCGACTTTTTTTTGAAAAAGTCAAAATTACACGTTTCAACGATGTTTTTGCATTGGTCGCGATCATCGTATTTTGTGCAGTGCCTGGCTTTTTGTGTTTTCAATTCGTTTCTTCTACTGTAGCTGCACTTCACTCCTATAGGCTATTCAAGCAATTTGCTGGTTCGCCTGAGCAAAATTTGGCGTCAGTTAATTAAAATTGATGAATTTCAGTTTTTCATCAAATTTGTTGATATTTATGATGTTCTAATTAGCTTTTAAAAGTCACGTGTTGTTTTTCAGCATTGCTTGTAACCTTTTAGGGTTGTCCTAACAGTTCCGTTGGATCTTTGCCGGCACATTTGAGTGTTTTCTTTCCGCATTTCTGCAAAGATATCCCTCGAAAGTTATTTTTGTTTTGTTTTTCCTATACTAATACATGGAAATGTTGAGAATTGAGGTATGTTACCGAATTTTGGTCAGCTAGTGGACCAACTTCGCGCCTGTTCGTCATTGGTGATTTGAAGATCAATGAGCCCAAAAATTTTGAATTTCCTTCGACTCGTTGATGGGGGGCGAAAAACTTTTTTTTTTCGTAATGCTTAAGCATGGGCAACAGTTGGATTTTTCGAGATCTCGCGAAGTTGTTTTCTCCTAGTGGACCAGCTTCCAGCAGGCTCCTTATTAGGGTTCTGGAGATCAATCGCACCAAAATTTTCAAAATCCACTCACAACTTTGGTGGGGGCACTAGAAGTTTTTTATTGCTAATGTTAATACGTGGGCAACAGGTGGATTTTTCGAGATCTTCATGAAGATGTTGCCTCCTAGTGGACCCACTTCGTACAAGTTCATCATTTGGGCACTGGCGATGAATGGTGTCAGAATTTTCAAAATCCATTAACAACTTTGGTGGGGGCACTAAAAGTTTTTTATTCCTAATGTTAATACGTGTGCAACAGGTGGATTTTTCGAGATCTTCATGAAGATGTTGTCTCCTAGTGGACCCACTTCGTACAGGTTCCTCATTTGAGCACTGGTGATGAATGTCGTCAGAACTTTCAAAATCCACTCACAACTTTGGTGGGGGCACTAAAAGTTTTTTATTCCTAATGTTAATACGTGGGCAACAGGTGGATTTTTCGAGATCTTCATGAAGATGTTGCCTCCTAGTGGACCCACTTCGTACAGGTTCCTCATTGGTGGTCTAATGATCGCTGACAGCGCCGTAAATTGGTTTAAACTATATGAAGACTTTGATGTCACTTTTTCGGAAGATGTCGAAGATGATGTTAAAAACTGAATGTTCTTGTAATTTATCAAGTACACATCCTATCTTGGGAAGTGCGATTTGTTTGATTCGTTGTTCAATTAGCTGCTTCTTCATGCAGCGGAGGCTGCGTGTGAGGTCATAGTAAGATGGTTTTTTGAAATAT